AAATAAAATTCATAGATTATATGGCCTATGTATGCATATCTTATTTGTACAAAATAGCCTGCCTTATAATAAAAATAACTCTTAAAATATATAAATGCTGGGGCGTGGTCTTCACTAGACAATTCCATAGGGCAGCAGGATTCTTGACCCTGCTTTACTGTTTATAAGGCGGTGTCACTGTGAGTGTGCCAACAACAGTGGCTAGGACACATGTGAAGAGTCAGAGTCTCAGTACATAAAGCAGCATTTCCATTGGTGACCTGATCTCCCCCAGATGGTGAACAGCTCTTGATAAAGTTTCAAATAAACCAAAGTTCAGTCTTCCCTCAGTTTGCATGACGGTCATAGTCTTGGAAACTCCAGGGTATGTTCACACCTTGCAAGAAAATATTTAGTGTTTACTTATAAAACAGTGAGGCTCTCAGAGGATTACAAATGGGTTTTTCACCTACATGAATGTCTGGCAGAGTACTCAAGAGTCAAGTTAGACACAAAAACAGTGTTCATAGAGTTCCTGTGCATTGAGAGGCATGTAGCATCCCTGGCCTCCTCCCGCTAAATGCCAATGGTGCTGGCAATCACTGAGCTAACCAAGAATGCTCCCCAAGAGAGTACCCTTTCCTGCTGAAGACCAGGGCCTCAGCTCTTCTCAGTTTAAGACGCACTTCCCCATGCCTGACCACCTCAGGTCTTATATTCCATCAATTTATTTTTCTATCTAATTTGTGTAATTTCTTCTTATTTGTCATTCTCCCTACACTTATCAACCTGTTAAAAAAAAAAAAGATGGGTGTGGTGGCTCATGCTTGTAATTCCAGCACTTTGGGAAGCTGGGGGGGGGGGTGGATTACTTGAGTCCAGGAGTTCAAGACCAGCCTAAGCAGCATAGCAAGTCTTCATCTCTACAAAAAATAAATAAATTAGCTGGGCGTGGTACTGCGTACCCGTAGTCCCAGGTACTCAGGAAGTTGAAGCAGGAAGATGGCTTAAGCCCTGGAGTTTGAGACTCTGGTAAGCCATGTTTATGCCACTGCACTCCAGCCTGGGCAATAGAGTGAGATCCAGACCCAAAAGAATTTTATAAAAGGCCAGGCATGGTGGCTCATGCCTGGAATCCCAGCACTTCGTGAGGCCAAGGCAGGAGGGTTGCTTGAGCCCAGGAGTTCAAAGTTAGCCTGAGCAACATAGTGGGATATTGACTCTACAAAATTCAAAAAATTAGATAGGCATGGTAGCATGTGCTTGTAGTCCCAGCTACTTGGAATGCTGAGGAGGGAGGATTACCTGAGCATGGGAGGTTAAGGCTGTGGTGAACTGGGATTGTGCCACTGCACTTCAGCCTGAGCAAGAGTGAGATCCTGCCAAGGAAAGAAAATATTTTTCAAATCTCTCTTCTGCTCCATTCCTGCTAACCTACAGCATGCCTTTCTCTCTCACCTGGATTTTGCAATATTCTCTTAACTTATCTCCTTCCTTCAAGCCTGATGTCCTAATCCCCATTGTACCCTTGGATCTATCAGATACACAGATCAGGTCAGTCCAGGCCTCTGTCCATAATATCCAAGTAGACCAAAGATCTTCCCTACAACATAGTGTCTCCTCGCCAGGTCTGCCCCAGACATGTTCCTCACATTTCAGAAAAACTTTGAACCACCTTTTGAGATATGATTGGCAAACAATAAACTGTATGTATCTTGGAGCTTTATTGAGGTATAATTCATGTACAGTTCACTCATTTCAAACATATAGTTGGTAATTTTTAGTGTGTTCACAAAGTTGACCCATTTTGGCACATGTACCTATCCCTGAAATTATTACCACAATCAAGATAATATTTATCACCCTCAAAAGTCTTCTTATAGCCATTTATAATTTCTTCTCACCTCCCTAGCAACTGCTTATCTGTCTTCTGTCACTAAAATGTAGATTACATTTTCAAGAATTTTTTTTCTTTTTGAGTAGGAGTCTCACTCTGTCACCCATGCTGGAGTACAGTGGCATGCTCATGGCCACTGCAGCCTTGACCTGCTGGGCTCAGGCAATCCTTCCACCTTAGCCTTCTAAGTACCTGGAACTACAGGCATGCGCCATCATACCCAGCTAATATTTTGATCTATTGTAGAGACGAGGTCTCGCCATGTTGCCCAGGTTGGTCTTGAACCCATGTACTCTGGCAATCCTCTTGCCTCCACCTCCCAAAGTGCTGGAATTACAGGCGTGAGCCACCACACCTGGCTTCAAGAATTTTACATAAACAATTTAATATGTACTGTTTATCTTGTGATTTCTCTTAGTCTGGCTTCTTTATTCAACATAATCATTTTGAGGTTCATCCATGTTGAAAGCATACTTTTTAGAAACTACCAAACTGTTTTTCAAGATGGTTGTACCATTTTGTGTTTCTTTCATTGGCTATGAGAGTTCCAAGTGCTCCACATCCTCAACAGCATCCAATAGGGTCAGTCTCGTTAGTCTTAGCCATTCTAGTAGATGTGTAGTGGTGTGCCTCCTAGTTTAAAGTCCGGGGGTCCTAACCTCTAGGTAGTTCCCACTACATACCTGTTAATATCATTTCTCCAAACCATTGCTTCTGCTATTCTTGCAACTTGGATGCCTCTGTACCCATTTCTCATCTTATCTGAACCATCTTCCTTTAACATTCAGTGTCCTTGGCCTTCTAAGTTGAACCAGTGTGGTGTGTGTGTGTGTGTGTGTGTGTGTGTGTGTGTGTGTGTGTGTGAATATTTATATTTTTTCCTGTGGATGCATTTTAGAATTATGTGGATACTTTGTAACCCTTTTTGCATTATGATGAAATCCTCTGTTTATGTTACTGTTTTCCCTATTCAGGGATGGGGACCTGATACAAGGCTTGGCACGTCATAGGTTCATTGTCTTGAATGGCAATGGCAGAGACAGGATTCAATATTCTAAGGGTGGTGCTCCTCTAGGATTTGAAAATGTAGTTCTATTTTCTCTTGTTTAAAGAGCGCCGTGATTGCATTCCTTGTTTGAAATTTATAAATCAGAAACTGTGTAGGTATTGTAATATTTTTAAATGAAAAGAACAATCATCTTCATTCTTTAAAACACCCTTCAAACGTAGAAGTCGAAATATAAATAAAGTCAAAGGAACTCATGATCTTAGCAAAGAAATTAAACTTTATCTGAATGAGAGTTACCCACCTGGTCTTCACTTTATGATCTTAAGGTTTCCTGTCTCTGAGGATTTTAAATATTTTTGAGTGAACTAGAATTAGTCATTATGCCTGTAATATTTTTCTTAAGTGGGTGGGTGAGGAAGGTGCAAGGCTGAGAAATTTATTTTAAGCAGCTTCTGAGAAATTCTCAGTAGTAAATAATATCTGCAAGTTTTTCAACTCCCCAGATAATAGTCAGTTCGATGTGGTTTTTACAGGTTCACAGGAGGGAGACAGAAACATAAAAAGAGTGAGCTGGTTTCCAGGAGAGAAGTTCCTGGTAATAAGGGGATGGTAAGGAGATTGAGTTTCAAAGTCCGATTAGAAATTGTGGCTATGGAATTTGAAGTAATTGTCACTGAGGCTTTGTAGCCTGTGGATCTGGCCTGCTGTGCACAGGCAGTGGGTCTTGATTTTTAACCCAGAGCAAAGTGGCAGTGGAATACAAAAACATATGCAGCGCCTTCTAGGGGATACTGGGTTTGCTGGAATAATGCTCAGAATTAACCAGCAACTAAAAGTTAAGAGAAAGCACCAGGATGTGGGAACTCCTAAAGCAGCAGACCAGCTGACGATGATGAAGGTGATTTTTAAATAGTCCTTTATAGTGGGGTTTGTTCCAAAGCAAGGTAGCATCGTTATCACAAGCTAAATAAAATCAACTAAAGCCCATGACAGGGATCTGTCTAAGAATACCACACAGAGCAGTGCTTCTCAAATTCTCCTGTGCACACAAATCACTGGGTGCTCTTGTGAAAATTGAGACTCTAATTCAGGAGGTCTAGGGAGGACCCTGAGACTCTGCATTTTAAAACAGTCCCGAGTGGGAGTGGTGCTGCCAGTCTTTGGACCATACTTTGAGTTGCAAAGGCAGATACCCAAGTAACCATGTTGCTCTTTCTGCTTTCATAATAGATCATGAAATTGTCCTGTAAATATCTTTGAGAAAATAAATAAGTTTGTTGTTAATGGTCCTATCATTTTTGGAGGATATAGACATCAAATTCTGATTTCTATTTTAGTGTTTTTTTTTTAAAGGGGTGGGCGGAGATTTCTTCAGGAAAAAATCATTTGAAAAAACTTCATATTGAGTTGTCTTTATTTTAGGATTGAAAATATCCATGCCATGTATTTAACTGATTACAGAATGAATTTAACTTAAATCCAGTATATCGCTTATATACAATAGTGGCATTCAAAAACTGTCTAATTAGATTTTCCATAAGAACAATCACTTCTGTGGTTAAAATTTGAAAACACACACTGCCTGGCATAAGTATTAGATTATCTTTAGCTCAGGACCATCCCGGGTTTGGGGTTAACATGGTATGGTGATTTAAAGCATAGACTCTGAAGCCAGATTTCCTGGCTTCTAATCCTGGTTCTGCCAATGACTGACTGTGTGCCTTGAACAAGTGGGCGGTAGTTTACTCATCAATTAAATGGGTCTGCATTCTACAGGTGTTATTGGATCAAGTCAGTTAATATCCATAAAGATCCTAGAACAGTGCCCAGCACATTTATGAGCTATGTGTTTGTTAAATATATGATTAAAATAAATAATATATGCATTCATGTCATATCTTATTTGCTCAGTGGTCCTGTGGGACCTAGAAAGCCTGTTATCTTTTTACCTGCTAAGATATCCAACAAGACTTTCCCATTAAGTATCTGGTCAAAGAGAAAGGCAACAAACTTTCCAGGTAACAAACTGGGAATCCCAAAATAAATCCGTGATATTTAGAAACACATTCATTTTCCTTATTTGGTTAGATTTACGTCATTCCTTTGGTTTTGCAGTTGGTGATGTATATTGGCCAGGTGGCTAAGGATATCTTGAAGTGGCCCCGTCCCTCTTCCCCTCCCGTCGTGAGACTTGAAAAGAGAGTGATTGCTGAATATGGAATGCCGTCCACCCACGCCATGGCGGCCACTGCCATTGCCTCCACACTCCTCATCTCTACTGTGGACAGATATCAGGTAAGGCGGCCTTATCTTCCTCCCTTCTGGGTCCTAGGCCACCCATCTACTGAGGCAGCAAATAGAGGTTGCACTTCAGAATTTTCTCATAAAGCTGCTTTGAAGGGACCTCAAGGTTTATGCAACAAAGACTAAGAGGAGCTGAAACCTATTAAGCTATTTCTGTCAATCAACTCATAAATAAAGTGACCATATAATTTAGCATCCAAATCAAGTTATGCCTGAGAGTGAACATGGTACCGTTAATAATGGCACCAGGACAGCTAGCTAGCATGAGCTGTCCCCGGTGACCAGCGAGTATCGTCACCCTAAGCTGCTTGACGAGACAGCACTTGAATCAGTGCTCTCATCCTTTCTCTGCAACAGATGCAAAGAGTTTATGGTCCTAATAAATGATCCCCCAGGGCTGAGATGCTTCCACTAAATTTCTCTGCCAGACTCCCCAGGGCCTGAGGCAACAAAGAGTCTATGCCACATTAGCCTCCAAGAATGCCTTGGTCCCTGGCTAGGGCTCAACCACTACAAATGACAGCTCCAAGTTTTCCAGAACTGTCTAAATGGCAGGAGATTCATAAATGTTGAAAACAGAAGAATGTTACTTAATATCTGCTTAACTGTCAATTATAGTAAGACTTTTACAAAGTTATGTTATCGCTGCAAGGAAAGGGTCTCTTCTCCTTTTTTGAGATCTGTTGCTTTAATTTTGTGTTTACTTTCATAAAATATATGTTTTACCTGTTGGAAGTTTTAGATTTCATTAAATCTAGCAGTCTTGGAGATCAATGGAGGTATTGTTTTGCCCAGGGGCATTCCTGTTTGAAGTTGTGCTGAAACAGGGATGTCAGCCTGATGTGGTGGAAAAGGTCAGGACTAGTGTAGATTCCTAGCTCTACCTGGTCACCTGGGTTTAGACCTCCGTTTCCTGTATAAGAAAGGGACAGTTACAAGGAATATATGTGACTAGATATAATCTTTTTTTTTTTTTAATCGGGGTCTCACTGTGGTCCCCAGGCTGGAGTGCAGTGGCATGATCACAGCTTACCGCAGCCTCAACTTTCCAGGCTCAGGAGATCCTTCTGCCTCAGCCTTCTGAGTAGCTGGGACTACAGGAGCACACCACCATGAATGGCTAATTTTTTTACTTTTGTAGAGACAAGGTCTCACCATGTTGCCTAGGCTGGTCTCAAATGCCTGAGCTCAAGCAATTCTCCCGTCTTGGCCTCCCAAATTGCTGGGATTACAGGCATGAACCATCATGCATAACCCCTATTTTATTTTTAATAATCACAGTATTGAGCTATTTGGGTTGTTTGTTCAGAAATAACTCTAAATATTAGTTTTTTTTATATGAATATGTGTCGAGGCTAATGCCCAAATTCTAATTTCTGGTTACATTAACGCATCAATTTTAACACCTTTTGATTAAAATCTGAGGCTCAGTGAGTGATGACCCTTAGGAAAAGACATGCAACCGGAAGTTGCTCTTGTATGTTTACTTGGAAAAGAGCACTCTAGACTTGGGCTCGGAAGGTGTGTCTTCTGGTTCTGCCACTTCCTGGCTGTGTGACTTCAGGCAGATCATTTCACCTCTACAAGCCCCAACTGCTGTTGTGAGGATCAGATGGGATAATTGACAGGAAAGTATCTTTGTGATCAAGTTTCTTACTAATGTAATCTATTGTCATGGTTAAGGGCTTCCTCATTTGTAAAATGGGGCTAATAATAGAGCCTGCTTCATGGGGTCATGTGAAGATGAAATGAGATAAAAGCATAAGGTGCTTTGCATAATGTAGACAGTGCTCTCTCGTCTGTGATCTAATCATTATGGAATACCACAGAAGCCAGCCACTTGAAGCAAGTAGATTATGTCTCCCCATCTCGCTTATCAGCAGGGTGTCTGTGTGTTCCTTATGTGACTCAGCATTAGCCAAATTCCTCCAGCGGCTATTACAACTCACCAGCAAATATGGAGGATGAATAGAGTCTGCACTGGCGCTTTGATGTCTGTATGTAAATATGCCAGTTTTAATTTAGGCCCATTGGCCCTGGGTCTCCTAGGTCTCCTCGAGAAGTTACCTGTTGGAACTTTCTGATTATAGCCCTGGCCATCTACCTTGTCCCTGGGTCAAATTGTTTATTTCTTAAGTTCTAATTTAAGGATAAATAGAAATAGGCCAGGTACCTGGGGCTGATACATGTAATCTCAGCATTTTGAGAGGCCAATGCAGAAGGATTGCTTGAGCCCAGGAGTTTGAGACCAGCCTGGGCAACATAGCAAGACCTTGTCTCTATTTATAAAAAAAGCAAATGGATAAAATATATTTTACAAAAAGAATGGGTAGAAATAAATATAATTCACTCCTCTAAAACTGCCAGCACAATAGCTATGATCATTAGTCTTTTTTTTTTTTAATTTTGAGTTGGGGTCTCACTCTGTCACCCAGGCTGGAGTGCAGTGGCACACTCACAGCCACTGCAGCCTCGACGTGCTGGGTTATGCGATCCTTCTGCTCAGCCTTCCAAGTAGCTGGATCTGCAGGTGTGCGCCACCACACCTGGCTAAGTTTTTGATTTATTGAAGAGATGAGATCTTTCCATGTTGCTCAGGCTGGTCTCGAACCCATGGACTCAGGCAATCTTCTCACCTCAGTCTCCCAAAGTTCTGGGATTGTAGGTGTGAGCCACCATGCCTGGCCTGATCATCAGTCTTAAAGCCAAATCCTGGGCTGGGTGTAGTGGCTCACACCTGTTATCCTAGCACTTGGGGAGGCCAATGCAGGAGAATCACTTAAGGACAGGAGTTCGAAACCAGCCTGGGCAACATAGTGAGACTCTGTCTCTACCCAAAAAAAAGTTAAACCCTACTATGTCTCCTTTGCATGTAACTTCCCCCAGAACTACATTCCTGGTCATTTTCCCCTTCTCTTTCTTCTGTTTCCCCATTTTAAAAAATGTTTTTGGATAATCTGATTGCTGATCCAGAAAATACAACATTCAGACTAACAAATATGACCAATGAATCCTGTTCCCACCTACAACATCAAATTGTATTTGCCTGAGCATGCTTTAATGCCCTTGTTTCCTCTTCTCCCCCTGCAGTATCCTTTTGTTTTGGGATTGATGATGGCTGTGGTGTTTTCCACCTTGGTGTGTCTCAGTCGGCTCTACACTGGGATGCACACTGTCCTGGTAAGGCTTTGTGGTCAGGTTTTGCAGTGATTATGTGAATAATATTATGGTCAGTGTGTCAGTGTGTTCCTCATGCTACTAATTTGTAAAAAATTATTTGCAAAAAAATAAAATAAAATAAAAAATTATTTGCATATGTAATTATATTTCTCATCAGGCCAATGAATGAAGTAATTATCATGTTAGGGCATACGCATAATTATAGTTATGAAACATTAAGATAATATAAACACGACTGAGCCAGGCTAAACCCTCAGGTAGACTTTGAAGATGGGCTAGGATGGCAACAGACACTCAGGTAATTTACTTTAACGTTGGATTGCTGATGGTGCAACATGCAGTACAGAAAACACACCCAAGGTCAAGGACACAAGTGAGTAGACATAGTTCCCACTTAGGTCCTCACAAAGATGAGCCTAAAGTTAGGGGTCTCCTCTGCTGCCCTTGCCAGGTCAGAAGAGCCCAGAATCATGGTTTCACTTCTTTCCGTACTGTTTTAGCTGGAGACGGTGGTAGAAACAGGGAGACACATCTGTATTTAGAGATTCGTTTATTCTTTACCATATTGGGAATGTTTCCTAGAGCTGCCACGATGAACACAGCTAAAATTACTTGAGAATTTCTATTTCCCAGTGCACCTGCCAACTGCCATGAAGTTCCAGAGCCTACGGCTGGCCCTGGCTTGCCACAGGGACACTATTCATCATTGTAATTGGTACAAGAAAGATCTCAAGAAATGGGTCCTTGTGCATTATGTGAAGCTCAAAAATTAAATTGGCAAAATACTTCAGAGGGAAAGGCAACTAACCTTCACGAGCCTTCCCATGTCTTTCCCTGGAGCCTGGTGTGGGTTTCATGGGAAAGGTGAAAGGGAGGGGCGGAGGGGCAGAACAGATTTAGGATGGTCATTTATCAAAATGAGCAGAGGCAGAGAACCGAGAGGAAGTGACCCAGAGACAGGGAGCATATGGCCTCCCAAAAGTCCATCAGGAGCAATGCCACGCTTTCCTCTTAAAATGCAAAGGGAGGCGCAGCCAGCAACTGAGTCAGGGACAGGACTTGGGAGAGGCAAGCGAGGCTCAAAATATAAGAGGTGCTTAAAAACTCAGTAATTGAGATAAACAACCTTCTTTTTTTTTTTGAGTTGGAGTCTCACTCTGTCACCCAGACTGGCATGCAGTGGCACGCTCATGGCCACCGCAGCCTTGACCTGTTGGGCTCAGACCATCCTTCTGCCTCAGCTTTCCAAGTAGCTGGAACTACAGGCACACGCTACAATGCCCAACTTATTTTTGGATTTATTGTAGAGACAAGATCTTCCCAAGTTTCCCAGGCTGGTCTCAAACCCCTGAGCTCAGGCAATCCTCTCGCCTTGGCCTCACAAAGTGCTGAGATTACAGGCTTGAGCCACTGCACCTAGCAAGACAATCTTAAAGCATTTTTTAAAAATCAAAATTAATACAAAAAATCCATGATGAACAAAATGTTCAAATTTTAAGTAAAGATGAGCTCTGACCTTGCATCTGCTCACCTCTGCCTCACCTGCCTCACCTGAGGCCTGGCCATGACCTGAGTACTGTTTGGGTGAAAAGGGGCCCAGACCTTGAAAATGAGGCGATTATGGGCCTGTCTTATTATTCTACCTACCAAGGCACATCCCTGCTGGCCCCATCCCATGTCACACTGCACCTGGTGACTCCTGAGACCAAAGGGAGAAGGGGACAAGAGAGTTCTCAATTTGCAGTACTACTGCTTCCCATTACAAACACGGTCTCTCAGCCGGGCTTGGTGGCTCAGCCTGTAATCCCCGCGCTTTGGGAGGCTGAGGTGAGTGGATTGCCTGAGCCCGCGAGTTCGACACCCACCTAGGCAACTTGGCGAGACCTCATCTCTACAATAAATCAAAAAAAATTAGCTGGACATGGTAGCGCACACCTGTAGTTCCGGCTACTTGGAAGGCTAAGGCGGAAGGATCGCAGGAGCCCAGCAGGTCAAGGCTGCGGTGGCCGAGAGCGGCCACTGCACTCCAATCTGGGCGACAGAGTGAGACTCCAACTCAAAAAAACAAAAACAAACAAACAAACAAAAAACAAATACGGTCTCTCCAAACACTTCAATATGGAATTAAGGCAAACTCTATCCTAGGTGTCCTGGCATTTCTTTTATCTGGAGCTACTTTTTAACTTCCATGGGCATTAATAAAAAAAAATAAAAAATCTTGGGGACTCAGGTTAAAAGGTAAATCAAAGTAAACATGAGAATGTAAAGCTACAAACATGTACACAAAACCCTCCTCAATTTAAATACTGCTACATTTTTAAATTTTCTTTTTTAAAGCGGCTTATGGGGGTAGGGATGCAGAGATTTGTGGAACGATAGATTAGGCTTCTCATTCAGATGCAAGGAATGGGTACAGCCTCCTTTTTGGGGACTTCTGTCCCAAAAGGACATGGAGCAAGGGGCCACAGCAGCTATTTATTCCACCAGCCCCAATCTGTTCTACTGTTGGGCCAGGGCTTCTTTCACATTCATAATTTTATTCATAAAGATCTTGGACTCTGACTCGGGCTCAAGCCCAGGCGCCAGTCAGGCTACAGGACCAGAGCGTGGCCCAGGGCGTGATGGCACATGATTTCTAGTAGAAGGGAATGGTTGTTTTTAACAGTGGGATAAAATTAAGTTCTGGGCTAGTAGTCTTTTTTATTCGGCAGCAACTTAATAAGCTCCTACAGGATGCCAGGCTTGGAGTTCCATCTGGGAGATACTGTGGTAAACAGAGACACCCCACCCTCCTGGGTCTCCAAGTCTGTTGAAGGAGACAGATATATACACTGCTGATTACTTGATATGATGAGTAGTATCATTAGCATGGGACAGCTGGATTTAGCCAACTAAGGTAGGATGCCTGGCTCCCAGACCCCTCACAATCTCTAGGGACTGTCATTTCTAACGGATGTCAACCATAGCTGCATATTCAAATCCCATGGAAAATTAAAAAAAAAAAAAAAGCATATCTCTGGAGATATCTTTATATCCATGTTCAGAACATTATTCGCAGTAGCCAAAAGGTGGAAGCAACCCCAGTGTTCATCAATCAATGAACTGACAAAAAAACTACTCAGAGATGTAGTTCAGTTTCAGACCACCTCAACAAAACAAATATCACAACAAAGCAAATATCTCAATAAAATGTCATAGATTTTTTTTGATTTCCCAGTGCATATAAAAGTTATGTTTACATTATTCTGTAGTCTGTTAAGTGTGCAATCATATTCTTTAAAAATGACATACTTTGATTTAAAACACTTTATTGCTAAAGATGCTAATGCTCATCTGAGCCTTCAGTGAGTCATAATCTTTTTTGGTGGTGGAGGGACTTATCTTGATGTTGATAGTTGCTAACTGATGGCTGGTAGTGATTGCTGAAAGCTGGGGTGACTGTAGCAATTTCTTAAAATAAGAAAACAAAGTTTGTCACATCAATTAACTATTCCTTTCACGAAAGATTACTCCATAGCATGCAATGCTGTTTGATAGCACTTTTACCCACAGTGAAATGTCTTTCATAATTTGTGTCAATTCTCTCAAACCCGACCACGCCTTTATCAACTAAGTTTATGTAATATTCTGAGTCCTTTATTGTGATTTCAACAATGACCTCAGAATTCTCACCAAGGGTAGAGTCCATCCAAGAATCCACTTTCTTTGTTCATCCATAGGAAGCAACTCCTCATTCTTAAAAGTTTTTTGTTTTGTTTTGTTTTGTTTTTTGAGTTGGAGTCTCACTCTGTCACCCAGACTGGAATGCAGTGGCACGCTCCCGGCCACCACAGCCTCGACCTGCTGGGCTCCTGCGATCCTTCTGCCTCAGCCTTCCAAGTAGCCAGAACTCCAGGCGCGTGCTACCACACCCGGCTAATTTTTTTTTATTTATTGTAGAGATGAGGTCTCGCCAAGTTGCCCAGGTGGGTCTCGAACCCACAGGCTCAGGCAATCCACTCACCTCAGCCTCCCAAAACGCGGGATTACAGGCTGAGCCACCGAGCCCGGCTTCTTTCAAATTTTATCATGAGATTGCAGCAATTCAGTCACATCTTTAGGATCTACTTCTCATTCTAGTTCTCTGACTGTTTCTACCACATCTGCAGTTACTCCCTCCACGCAAGTTTTGAACCCCTCGAAGTCATCCACAATGGTTGGAATCGACTTCTTCTAAACTCCTGTTCATGTTGATATTTTGACCTCCTTCCATGTGGTATCTAGAATGGTGAATCCTTTCCAGATGCTTTCCAATTTACTTTGCCCAGATTCATCAGAGCAATCACTAGCTATATCCTCATGAAATGTCATAAATAATAAGACTTGAAAGTTGAAATGATTCCTTGATCCATAGGTAGCAGAATGGGTGTTGTGTTAGCAGGCATGAAAACAACATATATCTCCTTATATCTTGGGTGGCCAGGTACATTGTCAACGAGTGATATTTGGAAAGAAATCTTATTTTCTGAGCAATAGATCTCAACAATAGGCTTAAAATGTTCAGTAAACCATATTATAAATCCATGTGCTGTCATCCAGGCTTTGCTCTCCCATTAATAGAGCGAAAGAAGAGTAGATTTCACATAATTTTTAAGGGCCCTAGGATACTCAGAATGGTAAATGAGCACTGGCTTCAACTTAAAGTCACCAGCTGCATCATTCCCTAACAAGAAAGTCAGCTCAGCCTGTCTGTTTAAGCTTTGAAGCCAGGCACTGGCTTCTCTTCTCTAGCTATGAAAGAAGATGTCATCTTCTTCCCATGTAAGTCTGTTTTATCTACACTGAAAATCTGTCCTCTAGTTTAGTCACCATTATCAGTCATCTTATCTAGAACTGGGTAACTTGCTGCAGCTTCTACTTGCTGCTTCACCTTGCACCTTTATTTCTGGAGACAGCGTCTTTCCTTAAACTTCATGAACCAAACTCTGCTAGCATCAAACTTTTCTTCTCCAGCTTTCTTA